TCGCTTTGTCACGCCATCATGCTAGCGCACTCAACGTCGTCCATAAATCATCGCCAGATGCTGCCAAGATGGCGATGATTAATGAATGTGACAGCGTTTGACTAAGGCGATCCGTAGTGATCAATGGTGCTGGCTTATCAGATAATTGTATCAAGTCAATTCTTGCAATGGCAATCGTCGACGGGTGATCCATGGCCGGTCGTTCGGTTCGTCTTCGCGACTGGCCGCAGTCTCTCACGGTCTCACGGTCTCCGACAGTCCGGCGGTGGTCCACAGAAATGGTGGCAGGCCGGCCCGATTCCCCCGGTGCCACCTTCCCACATTCACGCCTCTGCTCGAATGAGAACCGCCCGCCCGAATGCTGAATGCTGCCCCTCTCGTCTCGAGAATTGCGCCACGATTCGCTGTCGATCGTCATCCGATGACCGTATACGGTGGATCGCGTGATGTGCAGGCGCAATGCAACAAGAACGCGTCTCAACTACCCGTTTCAACGCATCATAGTCATGTTCGGCTGTTGCGCCCGCGCAGCAGCTAATCGTCAATCCCTCTTCGTTCTGCGTCGTCGTACGTAGCCTACATAAGAGTTCAGGTCATGGTCATTTATGTCTCCTCTTTTTCACTCTCAACTAGCGCATGGAGCTACACTCAACTTTAGTACTCTTGACTCTGTTTAAGAAAACTCCTCCAAACTTCTGTGTGCGTCCTGCACATGCTCGCCTGAACGCGTCGTCTTCTTGCGAGCGCGTCTTTCGTTTTTCCGCCGCAAACAGTCATATGTTTGAAATGTGCGTGTTTTTGTTTGGTCAGGTGCAGCGGGTATTATTTTTAGGTCATAGGTCATTATTTGGCTCTGGTTCATTGAGAGCCGTTTGTTTTCTGTTTGAGAGGCTGCTCTTCGTCGGCCGATATCCGTTATCGTCCGTTTGACCAGTATCCACCCCTCGATGGTCAATATTGACCAGTGGTAGGCTCTGCCCGCCGACAAACACCACTCGAGATATGTATGTATGTCAAGAACCGGCACGAGCTTCGTAATGCCAGTAAGCTAGGTAGCGTTTTTCGCCACGCACTCTATGACTGAAACGTTCATCGTGCACAATTGCCGGCTTAAGTGATAAATGCTGACCGGCCGACAGGGCGGTTGTCCGGCGGTGATGATTCCACCAAAACTTCGAGCGTGGGCCACCTAATCAACAGCAGATAAGGCCGAATTTTAGCTTACTCATTTTCCTGTACAAATTACATTGTTTCACACCTGCTTCTGCCATTGTGCTCCGGTCGTGCCGTTGTTGGAGTCGAGTCGTTCGTCCAACTCACAGCCTCATCATCGTCGGATTACTTCGTTGCCCGGATCGGACGGCTTGCGCTCTCTTCTCGTCTGCAGGGATTAAACGAGGTAGCGACAGCTTGCTTCCTTCTTCTGGCGTCGAGTTATCATGAACCTCCTGTCCTCTTCCTATTCCTGTAGTGTTTTTGCATTGCCAGTCATCCAAAACTTCATTAGTCTTGGAGTTCGCTGTGAAGC